CCGAGTTGCGGGGCTCAGAGGCCGGGCTCGCCGGTGTCAGGCTGGCAGTGTGCTGATGTTGCTAGCCTTGCTCTGTGTTCCTGTGGGACTGACTGCCTGCAGTGCCCTGGAGGATGAAAGCTTTCTGACACAGGCAAACTGCAAACCCGCTCACTGAACACAAAGTCCAGCAAAAGGGAACAGCTATGAAAATCCCTCAAGGAAGCATTTCTGTAGGCATGTGAAGAAGTTAAAATCAACATATTTGCTCTTAAGCAAAGCCATAAAGGAAGTGCTTTGTGGGACTTTGATTTGACGAGGCATAGCAAAACTCAAAAGTCATTTAAATGTGATTTTAAATAGGAACTGAACCCAGCTGCAGACAGAAGGTTTTATCCACTCTGTCAAAGAAACAGAAAATGTCCAAAGTTGCCTTTTCTGTGGTTTGAGCTTCTCCATGGATATTTGATTACATCACAAGCCCCTGTCAGTCTGTCCAGATCAAAGGACATTTAGCCGAGACATGAAGTTGGGCACAGCAAAATGTGGCTCACAGTTAGAATCCCAAAAACAATGTTTACTTATGAGCAATTGGTGGACTACTGAAAATGAGCTCTGATTGGAGGGAATGCCAGCCTACCATAAAATACCCAAACTCGCACGCAGTGTGTGGGAAAGACTGGAGGGATTACCCCCGTGCAGCATTGGTATCTTTGCCCAGAGACTATCTGTCTGCTCTCTATCTGTCCTGGAGCTTTTCAAGCACAACAAAAACACACAGACGTCCTGCACACACAACTCTGAGCATCAGTTAAGTTGTTTATTTTGTCTGCAGTCACGGAAAAAGAGAAAATACTACTACAGACACAAACGAGCACCTTTTTTCCAGTCAAACTGAGAAGACAAACAAGGGGTTACTTTGTTGCCGTTGACAGAGGCAAGTCTTTCTATGAAGAAAGAGGCATGTTGGCTTAGCTGATAAGTGAGCCATGTCTCGCTGCCAAACCTAAACAAATTCCATTTCAGACAGCTCACCTCCACGGCTCCTCCCTATCTCCATTTCCATCTCGACCGCGGTTGCTCGACGTTGGGGAAGGGCTAGGCTGGATCCGAGCAATTTTTGCGGTCGCTGGAATTCACACTGTATCACTTTTCACCCAAATTAAGCGATGGGTGTGGGATTGCAACAATATCATTGGAGAGTTTCATAAATATACAGTAGGCAACTTACATTTTGACGTGCTCTTACTCCACTTTCGTATGATTAGCCCATCTCGACAGTTTTCAGCAAAGATTTGCCTCTTCCCATTTGACATGTCATTACAATATGCCCTCTAACTATTACTGATTAGTAGGTATTTCATACAATCATATATAGAATCTCATAATTAATTCACTATATGGGCTGTCAGCATCTACAATGGTGTATTTGTGCAAAGAGCATAAGTGAGCATCTTGCATATTGGTGCCTCAATGTTTTTAATTGAGGACAAGCTGCATATGTGTGCAGACTATGTTTAAAATTCCAGAAGGTAATAAAATTGTCATGTAAGTATTCCAGCTACATTATATTGTGATATGAGCCTTGGCACGTTCAGACAATTTGATATTAGCATAAATACCATGTAATATTTGAACTGCATCTCAAGTTATGCAGTTAAGGTACAAGATAAGATCCTGGTCAGAATACTGAGGCCTCTATTCATTCTAACCACACTGCATTTTATTCTTAGTTATTATTTAGTTTCCTTGCATTCTTTAGTTTCATAACACAACAACGGGATCTTGGCAGACACTGAAATTAAAGCAAAACGTTCTGTAAGACATGACAAAACATAACGCTCACTTAAATTCATTACTGAAAGATAGGTTGGATTGGATATGGGCCAGGGCATAATTCGATGAATGACACAGTATGACATGTCTGTAATTACTGAAGAATATTTTCATAAATGGAGGCTGGATTGCTGTTGCTTCATCACTTTCTTGCTAGGGAGTACTGCGCAGCTGTCAGACTGGAGTTTTGAACTGCAGTGTAGACTGGGAGACATTACTGAGCCTTCCTCTCTAAGAGACTGACGCACAGTGGACGATCATCTTAAAAGAGTAAACCACAAGGGAATATTTTACTCTCCTGAGAAGTTAAGAACTGCAGATGCTTTGTCCAATACTCTTTACTATGTAGATAAAATCAGATGGGTTCTTTGGACATGCAGAACCCAACTTGTGATCAGGGTAGGCGGAGACTTCTGGAGTCCACTGCGATGTAGGTGAGAGTCGAGAATCCTCTGCACGCCACAAGGCGTAATCACACTTCAGAGGGCTGAAGAGCACTTGGCTAATGGAAATTTCATGTGTGGTTAAAAAGACGGGCTTGTGAAAGCATGTTTGTTTTTCAACCCCCCCATGAGGGAACCGGGGATTGACATGGCACCTGAGAAAAATGTCAGGAAACATCTTTCACTGCAGTTTAGCGAAAGAGAAAGGAAAATCATTGGGGAGACATTAAAAAGTGACTACAGGTTTGACAATTCAGTGCACAGCAACAGAGAAGGAGCCCATTATCATTGAAAGAAAGGGAGAGGGAGAGGGAGAGAGACATACAGGGCAGAGCACACAGCAAACCTGCCCTGATGTTTGGCACCATTTAATAGTATCTTTAGGCAAGATTTTCCAATGATGGTTTGTAAGCAGGAATTATGACTCATTGGCTTCGGTTACATGGTTACAATACTTTGCATTGTGGACTGTTGGCCGGATGACCTCAGACTTGAATATCAGATGCATCTCGCAATTAGCACTTTTCTCAACGACCAGATTTTATGGAGGCATAATCACATGAGGTGCTGCACGTCTGTCTCCCAGTATGAATACTCAGCTCACTATTTCTGTTCACGAGTGTATTTTCAGTATGTGGTAAAGCAAACAGAGATGCCTGTTGCCTTTCAGTTCCAGCATTTTTACCATATTATGTAATGGTTCAGCATAAGAAGTAATTGCACATCTTAATAATTCATCAACACAAAGCAACAACTGGCTAAACATTCATCGCTTCATTGCCAACGACAAGGCAATAAATTGCTGTTCTCTATTTTTCTCTGAATATGATTAAGATCCTCAGTTGTTTAATCATTTATTCAAGAATTTCAAGACAAAATAATGAAAAGAGGAAACTGCTAAGCAGATGCAATGCAATAGAGTACAGTATGCTTGACCCTGTTTTTAATGGGCACTGATTGCTGTTCTCAGAGAAACTATGTTTAGCTCAGCTTTCATTTATCATTCCATATGTGTATGTAATTGGAACTTGAAATCTTCAGGCCAAAGATCTGTTCATATTTGGAAGGGCTTTCCTGGAACAGTGTTCAGTGGGATGCACCAAGGACACAGCAGTTAAGCACATTACAAGGGGGATGGAAAAATGCTTTGCATGTTCCATAGAATATGCACAATAGGTGCCCTTTGAGCCTAATATAATTTGTTTTGTGTTGGTGCAGCTTCCAGAGAATCAGCGAGTGGACCCCTTTGGATCATGGATGGATTTTGTAAAGCGACCCGTGGGCAACTTTCCTGGGAAGTGCCGGAAGCGGAAAAGGCCGCTGGTAAAACACCGCCTTCGAAATCTCAGTGGAGATCTGGAGATCTCAGCAACTGGCTCGACCAGGCAGGGCTGCCTTTAGGGATGGTGCATAATTTTGCAAACATAATTTTTTATTTTTAATTTCTTTAAAAAGTATTTTGTCTCTGAGCATGGGGTCTATTGATATGTCCATATATTTTTTCTGATAATGCTACTCATACACAGATTAGAAATTCAATGTGGTTTGAGTAAAAATACAAACAACAACAACAGAGGCAACAGAGAGCATTTTTAAATGACATTGGGTGGTATGCTTTCTCCTCAGGTTTAATTAAGAGAATGTAAAATTCATTTTTCACAATTCATTGCAGCTGGCACAAGTTACCTGGCTTGTCCTTAGCTCTGGGAATGAATGGCACCTTCATCTGCCTCTGTGAAGGAAAACCATACCCAAACTTCATACTTCATTCTCTCTGCAATATCATCACTGTTACTGTGGTTCCTCCCTTTCTAGCCAGGGCCACCTGGTCCCCCGGGCCCCCCAGGGCCACAGGGTCCTCCAGGATCCCCTGGGGCAGAGGTCACCCAAGAGTTTCTGCTCCAGGAATTTAAAGAAATGATCAAAGGTAAGACTAAACCACTTTCTAGCACCAAGTACCACTGAAGACACCAGCTCTGTCAAGGGGAAAATTATCATTTTGGGATGGCAATTTTATCAACAGGTTACTTACTAGTGCACAGCCTTTCCAATTGCAATTCATTTTTTCCCTTAAGACGTGTCACATAGAGGCTTATCCACATCATTTACATCATATCCACATCTTTACATCATACACTTACATCCCACAGTTGTCCAGTTTGACAAACAGTGTGTATGGTTAGACAGGCTATATATTTATACAGAAGGTTTAAAGGTGTAATAACACTGCTGTGATCGAGACTTGTCCACATGACTTTCTGATGAAAAAGTCCAGATGACTTTCTGGTGCTCACACCTCCGTGGTGTTGCAAGGCTGAGTATGATGTGCTCTGATCTCTCAGAGGCGACGGAGCGGCGCGCGGCTGTGGACCGGCAGGCTAACCCCAGCACCCTGCCTCCTGCCCTCATTGCCCTGGAGAGCATGACCTCTTACCGGAGGATAGAGGAGGCCTTCCACTGCAGGCTGAAGGGGCCTGTGGTCGTGGACAAGAAAACCCTGATGGAGCTGCAGAACTTTCAGACCGTAAGCTTGCTCATGCGAGGAGGCCCCGCCCTGAAGTTTTGTCAGGAACTCTGCTCCGTCAGATCCCTCACTGAGTTTGATTCACTTTTGCTGTTACGTTACATTATTGGCATTTAGCAGATGCTCTTATCCACAGCGACTTACACAGGTTACAATTTTTTTACGTTACCCATTTACACAGCTGGATATTTACTGAGGCAGTTCTGGGTTAAGTAGAACAGCAGTGCTCCAGCAGAGAATTGAACCTGCAACCTTTCGGTTACAAGTCCTACTCCTTACCACTATGCTACACTGCCGTGTGTTTGTCTGTTGAGAAGTCAGGCTCCTGGGTCGACTGGGGTCAAATTACGCTTCCTCTGAGAAACAATGAAAAGGAAAGCAATCACTTCTAAACACGGCTGCTCATCGTCTAATCCTTGGCTAAGACCGAGTGTCTGACTTTTGAGGATCGGTCCTTACAATCTTCAACACTGTGCAGGAGAGGGACAGGATCACCTAACAGAGCAGAGCAGGACCCAGCCGGCACCTTGTCAACGGTCCACATGGGTTTCTCCATGGCATACAAAAGGCACTCTGTCTTTGAGCTGGAATACAGTGCAGTAAAAATAGAGGCTGTTTGAAACCGCATGCTGTAGTGGAACAAATCCGTGCTGTGACACTCTGATGAGGGTGGTAGAGGGTGTTAAGGCCCTTACGTTAACCGAAAGTTAAAAAAGTACATTTTATTTGGGACGTCTGCCCTTCAGCTGAGATGGGCTAATATGACTCTGATCAGCATCGGGGTGGCATCAAAATGCTACTGTTTACTGCTATTCAAAGTTCCTGGTTTGAAGCGCCACCCAAAAAGAAGCAGGCCACAATATGGCAATGGTTCATCATAATATTTGCTTATATGTATGATAGAAAATATGCTTGTTCCCAGAAAAAAAACATGTCACTCAGTTATGCATGATTGGAAAGTGTGTGGGATGTTCAAAATGCTTTGAATCATGTTTTACATAATAATTAACCAAAGAGCAAACAAGGCTGTATATGTGTGTATGTGTGTGTGTATGTGTGTGTGTGTGTGTGTGTGTGTGTGTGTGTGTGTGTGTGAGAGAGAGAGTGTGTGTGCATGTGTGTGTAAGAACACTCTTGTGTGTGCATGCATGTATTTGTGTATGTACATGTGTTTGCATGTCTGTGTATGTATGTGTGATCACAGCCATTTCTGTGTGTGCTTGTATGTATGTAAGCGCTTGCATGTATTTGTCTATGTCTGTGTGTGTTATGAATTCTTGAACCCTCATTGTCTTGAGTGTACCCCCCACACTGGAGCCAGAGCATCACCTTTGAGCCAAAACTGCACTTTGATGTGTGTGTGTGTATTATTTGGACTCGACTTCCCTTGAGACGTCTGTGGATGATCATGGCCCAAGTCCAACAGATTCAACCCTCGGAAGCCAGACTCCTGACAAGCACCAAGGTCTGATACCATATACAGTAACCTCAGCTTTAAAAAAAGCATCTCTGCTGGCTCCACGCATCTCAGGAAAAAAAATAACCAACTTGCTTCTGCTTACTTTGAAGTCTGCTTATGGTCTGGCACCCAAACGTAGCTGAGATTGTGAGGTGATACGTTTCACAGTGGGTCAAGCCTGCTTCCTGTTTGCTTGAGGCCAGGTTGGTTAGCATCAGTCTAGAGCTGGAGATGTTATGAGAAGTGGAACAAAGTAATTAATATTTCTAAAGCTGCTAAAGGGAACCTGAAGGTATATTAGCACTGTTGTTGATTTGTACATAAGAGCAAAGAGCCCTTGCAATGTTTAGATGAACCATTTAATTGATTTAGCTTTGAAACTGAGAGTCACACAGGTCAGTTCTAATCATCTTACTGTAACTCAGTAGTGATCGAAGGAGCTGCGCAGGCCCTTCTTTTTGAGCAAGAACACAGTAGATTGCTACGGTCCTTGAGACTGCCTTGCTGTTTTTCAAGGTGCTGAGTGAGAGTGACCCGTGATGACAGAGCTATCTCAGAGCCATAAATCATTCTCTGTAATGAGCAAAATGGGTTTTACACTTATCCAAGTCTGCCTTGAGGCCTTGCCAGACAAACATGGTTCTACTGTAAAACTCTGAGTCATTAGTCTGTTTTTAGCAGCCTCACCGTCATTCCATAATTGGATTGGACCAATTCTACAGCCTTTTTTCAGAGTATTTTGTTAGATGCTAGACTGTGGTTTCCATGTTAACAATGTGTGGGCTCGTCAAGTTATTAAAAGTTCCAACGCCAAAGCTGGATAGCACCAGAAAAGACCCTTTGACTTTGCAAGTTTTGATTGAAATGTAGAACAAACAATAGGGCAAGTTCTCATGATGTGTGTGTGTGTGTGTGTGTGGGTGTGTGTGCACGTGTGTGTGCGTGCATGTTTGTGTATGTGTGTGAGTGTGTGCATATGATCATGCTTGTGTATGTGTGTGTGTTTGTTTTTGTGTACGTCTCTATGAATGTGCTTTTGTAGGTGTATGTTATGTGTGTATGTGTGTTTGTGTGTATGTGTGTGTGTGTGTCTCTGTCTGTCTGTCTCTCTCTGCTTTACTTCTGGTGGTGCTATAATTATGGTCTACGTGCCACGGATGGTCCCGCACCATGGGGTGTATCTAATGAGCAGAGATTCTGTGGGTGCTTTGTAGACACACACATACAGACACACACACCCATCCATCTCACAACCGTCTGTGTGCCCTGCAGAAAGCCCAGGAGACACTGAGTGAGAGCATGCTGATCTGTACTCAATTACTGCTGCCTTCCAAGAATTTCAATCACTCCAGAATTGCCATTACTCTGTGTTCCTCAGTACAACTTCACCGTGCTAGACTGTTACCCTTTGGCTTGGTCTGAGGACAACTGTTTTTACCTCACAGGGGAGTGCAGTTCATTGTTGATCTGCAGTACAGGGGAAGATGTTGTATTGCTGGCAGTTGCATTGCAATGCAGAGTCTCCCTATAATAAGGTCATGCGCGCACACACACACGAATACAAGCTTGGTCTTATTATTGGTCTGTATTTTTTTAAACTGTCCATGATCTATAAACATAGGACAGAAGTATTTTTTCTCAAAATAAAACATTTCTGAACTTGTTATACTTAATATTAAGCAAGCAATGTGATTACCTTATAACTACTGAGTTCCTTTATCTCATTACACAGTAGCTAATTTGAAGCATGGGTTTATGGGTAATGTAATCCCACATATTAGCCAACTAAAACTTTGCTTAGCTCTCATCCTTACTCGCATAGACATTTGCTTGTGTGCAGTTATACATCAAGATGACACAAATATTACATGGCGTTTCACATGAAACGGCACAAATATTACATTCTTCACACAAAATTACATAATTTATTGCCTGACAGGCACTGTTATCCAGAGAGGCTTCTGTAGTTCCCATTTCACCCATTGTTTATTTACACAGTATATAAGTATATACACTGATATTAGCTGGAGCGATTCAGGTAATGCACCTCGCTCAAGGGTATGGCACCAGTGCTCCACCACAGAATTAAGCCTGTTTGGGCTACAAGCACAAACCCTTAACCTCTGCACCACACCATCACCAGATGTCCCACTGTATACAAAGTGTGACCACTAATTTACCATAAATCAGGTACTGGGCTAAAGTCTGGCGTTTCTAGCCAGGAAGGAGGGGGAAGAAATCTCAACAAAGTAGCTTGCTGTGTAAGTGCAATCATGCAGCTTATTTGACTTAATCTGGCCTCAGCACTATCCCCTAGCCTCCAGCTTCGTCATCTTTCTGACCAGTTAAACATCAACACCTTATTCACCACTGAGTAACACTTGTTTGTTTTTATATTGTTTTTAGACATGCACCAAAGGGAGGGATGAGGCTGTGTTACATCTTTTTTTGTTGCGTTAGTTCAGTAAACCCCATTCAACCACAGAACATGGTAGTCTACATACCGTCTTCAGTTTGTCCCTTTTAGCATCTGTAAAATTGTCTACGCCTCTGTATTAAGCTTATTTGAAAGGCTGGGTCAACCATAAGGAGCACTTTGTGATGAGAGTAATACGATGCCTACTGTAGGGTCACTACTGTATTTGTTTGTGTCATTGGTCGATGGATAGGGATCCACAACTTTCTAAAGACTCCACTGATGTTTATGGTTCTCTTTTCTGTCCTGACAGCCTCCAGCCAAGGGTGCTTTTCTCCGGGGGACGGGGATGGACCAGTCCACCGGCCGATTCACCGCACCCGTGACTGCCATCTACCAGTTTTCTGCCAACGTCCACATTGGTAAAGACTGGTTTCTTCAAAAAAAAACCTTACTATTTTTCTGTGCTTAGGTGCATATGACTGTTAGGGCAAGCTGAAGAAAAACAACACTGTGATTTTGTTAAATTGCGGCAAAACAGCCATCTTGAGACAATTTTGATATTTTAGCCTTCAAAAGGATTTTATGGCATCTGTGGGCAATGTAAACATTTTACCCAAATGTGTACCAGCCAGTTTGTCTCTATTTTCCTTTTTGGACCTCAAAGATGGCATGCTTCTTATTATATAGTTCCTTATTTTGCTGCTGTTTCTATGGCTGATGCAGTCAGTAAAAATGTGTTTTGTAAAATGTAATGAAAGTAACCTAAGGCAGATTCATTGGGTTTGGGTTTGCTTCATACTTCAGGCCACAAGAAAACATAAAACTCAGCCTGTTTTGTTGGCATTCATATTTAGATTCATTACAAGATGGTGCCGGTTTTACCCTTCCAGAATTTCTGTGCTATCTGTTGAGAGGACAATTGTCAAGTTCCCATTAAGCTGAAGAATCGCAACTAACCGTTGCTGAAATAGCAGGCAGCTTCACTTCTTGGGAACGTGACTTTTAAAGGGGGAGGTAGGTTTCCATGGATACCTCCATCCCTTGAGGAGAGAAAAGAACAGAGACATGCTGCCTGTGGAGTAAGCGTCTGGGACCCAGCATGCAGAATCTGGCTAAGCTGCTGTGCGGCTAACAGCCCCGGGGTCCCGCTTGGCTCACAGGATCAGATTAATGCAGCAAATCACTCCCCGTTCTCCGGATCAGAAGCACTTAAGGACAGTGTATCACAACTGAATGTGACTGTCTGCCAGCAGCCAAAACACATTGTAGTGTATCACTCCCCCCCACCCACTCCCTCTGTTCTTTGAGACTCCTTATCTTTGGACTCTGCCCACCTAGTGCCCATTGTACAACAGCCAAGACAACAATGTTATGCCTTGATGAAGGAGAGGCTGTGCTTTGTTCTTCTTTTTTTTCCT